AAAGGCCATTTAGTTATCTCTGGAACGATGTAAAAATGAGCGTTCTTGTTCATTTTGCTTCCGAGAAACATGCAAAATAATCTTGCGCCACCCTTGCACAAAACGRCAATCATTTTTCTAATTTCATAAACAACAGAAGACTGTATTTTTTCTRCATGCCCCCCCCCCTGACTTTAAACGACTTGAAATAGCGGCSTGTTGAGCGACAATTGATCATTAATTTTTGTACAGGGTGACTCAAAATTGGCGACAGTCCTTTTAAGGAGTTATAGGGGCTCACTTGGAGAGTAGRTGGAAAACATTGAAATTTTTTTCCTATTCCTATTGAAGCCTACAACAGCCTGCTACACTTGACGAATCTCTACTGAAGATGCGACTAAATGTAGGGCGCCTCTAGCATYAGATTAGATGGCGGCCTTCGCCGCTCATAAAATGTGCATTAATTGTAGTTTTGCGCCTTTACGATTCAGACGGCCTTATTGATATTCCAAAATTGAACATTTCGGTACTATCGAGCCGCCTAGAATAATGGGTTATAAAAATTAAGACGGCCCGCGTTGAATTATTCAAACTGCAGGACTTGCTGCTGAGTCACATTGGTAACAATAAAACAGGCGCGTTTACCTGCAGATCGGCCGCTCTTCGTCTGGAGTGACGCTCCTGCGGCGCCCACCTCCCGCTGGATCTGGAAAAGACAAACATATTCAAACACTGATCGAACGGGGATGTTTACGTTTGGGAAAAACCGCGCTTAGAATTCCGCAGGGACGTGAATGAGTAAATTCCAAGGTGACATTCTCAGGCAAGGCTGTCTGTTGAGCGCGGCCGTAAATTTCCCAGCCAATCGAGCAAACAAACATTGAACGATACGAAAGAAACCAGAAAATGACAGGAAAGACGAATGCAAATGCGGATCCTGTGTGGTCTACTCTACATGAGTGTTACGCATAAGTCAATAGCAGAGTCACGTCACTGCGACTTCTAGAGAGGATGTCAGTGAATAACAATTGCGCATAGTTTCTCTTTAATGAATGCTGCAGGCAGATTTGAATAAAACGCTTATGCAACATCGGCCCTATATCGCAGATGGCCATCACGCCTATTTCGCCCATCGGAAGTCTTCTCAGTATGCTTTGGGGCGTCCCATTGATCACCTTGACCAGATCGTATCAGCGGCATTAGGCAGGTCTTTATAAATTATTGATAAATAATTGGGTGATTGCCGGAATACGCAATGAGCCCGTTTGGACCGGATGTCTGATCCATCTGGACCGGCTCGGATTAAATGAGAAGCCAGACTAAAGAGAGGTGAATATACTCTAAACAATCATCGGTTGTCATTTAACAGTTCCCACGTGTGACGTGGTCCTCAGGTATGTCTTCCAGTGAACCGATAGAGTATATTGACGTCAGGTCTTTTGTTTTACTATGCAAATGGCTCGAATGCACCGATTTCGATCAGGACGATGTGCATTCGTTGCTTGCACAATTTGAGCGATCAAGTGGGTAGTTGAGGCATTTACCGTGCTATTAGCATACAGGTTGCCAATTAAAATCGCTCGAAAATCATTATTACTGGAATCCATTAAAAAACGTCTTTGCCATTTCCATAAGCGCTGATCAATTCCGCACACGCACCGCGCTCGTTCGTGTAAAATTTATTTATTTTCTTGTTTCTGTGTTGTAGTCTGATATACGATTTTAAAACGGCACATCTCCGCAATACCATATGTATATAGATTCCATAGATAAGCACAGGGCCGGATCCGCCCGCATTTCCCGTTCAATCCAGTCGCGAAACTGAACGAAACTTGTGCCATTCGGTCACAGTTTCCAGTGTATTATCGGGAATTCGGACTCTAAAAGTCCTTGATTGTCCCTTAAAAAATGCGTGGCCGACGATATCGGATACGCTTTCGAGAATATGCCCTGGCTGTCTCAGAATGGGCACCTCCGCAAGAATTCTTAACATTTTCCCAAATTCCGAGGGTTTCTAAGTGGGGGCCTTAATCATCCCAAAATCGCCAAAAACCGCGTCTCAGAATGAGCTTTAGAAACTGCAGAAAAACTTCTCCAACAGTCGCAATTAATAATTAAACAACCCTTAGATCGAATTGAATGAAACTCACAGCGTTTGTGAGGAAATTATGCGATGTATGTAGTCGATTTCTGGAAACTTAATTCGGAAATATGGTCTGGTTGTCTCAGAATGAGCTATAGAAGCTGATGATTGGTGGAACTTGAAGAAAAAACTGCAGAAAAATGTCTTCAACTTCCACAATGACTTGTGAAAACGTCCTTTTCCCAAATTGAAGCAAATTGAGATCATTTGCAAAGGGAGGCCTACTATATCGACCGGTAGAACCAGCATTTGGAAATCCGGCCTGATGGCTTGGGAAACAGCTTTGGAATAA